CAGTAGCAGTAACAGTAACAGTAACAGTAACAGTTGACAGGGGATTGGGCCTTGGCATGCTACTGCTGACATTTGGACTGATGATGGCAGCAGGGTCAAAAGAGCAGTTGGCTTTTGAGCTTTGAGATCCAACCAAGGTGGAGGACACATTGGTGTTCCAGGATGGAGACTCAGATGGCAGTTGGACTGCGGATGATATTAATCCATATTTTGGCGGGGGTACTCATGTTCATAATAATCATAAGGATCTGCCCAGTCAATTAATTCCAGATTCAGTTGCTTCTTCAACTTCTGTCTTGGCAGTACTGTGAGTTAAACTTTGATATGAATAATCAGAGGGTTGGACCAGTAGTTTGGGGAACCGGAAAAATATATGGATTCAAGTATGGATTGAAGTGAAAACAAGGTGGTTGAGCTGGCAATGGTTGAAAAGGTATCACACAATCAGGTCCTGAGGGGACATCAGTGTTGTACTCTTTTTTAGCTAATGATGAAGGTAGAAGTGTCAAAGTGAAGAACAGCTTGATGGGAAGAAGGTGTCAGCACTTCTCTTGGACTTTCAATAAGGACAAAGAGAAAAACAAAAGAGAACTTACCATCTTGTGACTGATGGGTAGTGTTGTTTGATGGTTGTTCAATTTGTAAAATCAAGAAGTCCTCTTCTGTATTGGGATGATGAGGATGAGATGGATGAAGACATCCTCTTACCGCTTCTGAGCCAGAGGTCATCTTGCAAAAATCTTGGCATGAGCAGGGCCGGGTATGTATAAACATGGCGAGGAAATACTCGGAATACACCTGGTTTCGGGTATTGTCGAGCCGGGCACTAAATAGTGGTGTGTTAATTTCATGATCAGCATCAGAATGTGATTGGATCGATCGAAGAACCAATCGACTCATGAACAATCAACCATCAACTATCGACAACTCAACCATCCACATTCAAGATGGCTATCGTTCCATTACTCAATCAAAAACATAAATATCAAACTAAATCAAACAGAAGGATCTCATCAATCTTTCATAATCGAACCAGAAACCAATCCATCTCAATCTTACGATTCATTTGGATTCTCACTTTAATTTATTCTGAATGGTTTCAATTCTATAATCAAATCTCATCTTGTCAATGGCCTTCAATTCCATCTGATGAATCACAACCTGATATCATTCCAAATCAATTTAATTTACTTATCATTGCTGATCCTCAATTACCTTCGATTCCTTATTCTTATCCAACCAGATCTTATTTACTTCAATTCATTAGTATTCAAATCATCAATCAATTCATTAGAAAGTCTTGGAGATTACTCATTAGGATTAGAAAACCTGATGCGATTGTTTTCTTGGGTGATCTTTTAGATGCTGGTGTGGCTACTACAGATCAATCTGAGTAAGTCAACATTCTTTCAAACCTGATCTCTTTGATCAATCTACACTAAAAACATTCCTACATATTCTAGATATCAATCATATCTCGATACTTTCCGACATACATTTCCAATCCCAAACTCATTATCTGAATCCAATCGAATCATCTATTTAGCGGGTAACCATGATCTTGGATTAGCACCATGGACGAATTCGACTAATTCTAATTTAGTTAGAGAACGCTTTGTTCGTAACTTTCAACCTGGATCACTTTCAGGTCATCTTGAATGGGGAAATCATTCGATAGTTTGGATAGATTCGATTGGATTGATTGAAGAAGATAAACAAAGCAAGAAGAATGGGGATCAAAGTGATCAGGAGAAAGTGGTGGGACCTGTAAAGAGCTTTATTGAAAAGCTTAATGGACGTAGGTTTCTGTGATCTGTTTGTGTGATTTATCCCGTTTATTTTATTTATTTATTAGATCATCAAGAACTTGATTGAGTTGATCTGTTTTCGAAATATCAATTTCAACCAATTTACTGATCATCTTCATTTACCTTTTTCTGAACAATCGAAATTATAGCCGATACACTCTTACCTAAAGTTTTGTTTACTCATGTTCCACTTTGGAGATCAGAAGGAACTTCTTGTGGTTCGTTACGTGAATCAAGACGCGAAATTCATCAAGGTTCAGGTAAGAATTATCAAAATGAGATTTCAGAAGAATTATCGAAATTCGTTTTGGAAAAAATTCAACCTACCATTGTTTTCAGGTTAGTAAAAATAAGGAATCTGTTTTGAAAATTCATTTATTTGAATCTGATCATACATTTTAACTAATGTGTCTTCATTTTTTTGTGGCTCAGTGGTGATGATCATGATTATTGTGATGTAGTTCACACTATACCATCAACATCATACGCTAATCCGTCTCCTTCATCAATCCATGAAATCTCAGTCAAATCATTTTCAATGGGAATGGGTATACAAAGACCAGGATATCAACTCTTATCACTCTCGAATCCGTCCAGATTTGATAAACTACCTGAAAAGGATTCCACCTTTGAAACCTCATGTCTCTTACCCAATCAAATCAAATCATACACTCATCTTTATGTACCATTATTCTTGATCAGTTTGTTGATGATCTTTGGAATGCCGATTTGGAATGTAATGACCTCTCATCGATCTGGTAGGATACGACAACAAGCCAAAACCAATGGATTACCAATCCATCATCGTCATCGGAAATCATTATCAAGAACCTTGATGTTTACGAAAAAACCCATGAGCGTTGGATCTGATTCGTCTTCAGAAGAGAATCGATCAGATGAAGAATCAGGACATCATCGATTGATCTCACAACATTCTAGACAATCGGGTAGTTTAAGTTTAGCCGGTGAAAGAGAAAGTTATCCGTCTGGCTTACTCTTCCAAGAAGGAGGTCTCATCAGTCATCCTAATGGGTTTAATTCGCCTAGTAGTGTGATCAGTTATCATTCTCCGGTCGATTCGGGTCATGAAGATGATCGGATCTCTCATCCTTTACCTAATTTTCAAAATTATCATTCTGGAAGCACAAATTTGAATGAATTCAATGGATCTGCTCAACGAAATAGTGGTAAAGTAAGTGTGATTTAGTTTTCCTAAATTTTGTAGATCTATCATTTGATTGTTTTGGGTTTTTTTTTCCGTTTTGGGTTTGGCTTAGCGTCCTTGTTTACCTAGTAGGTATTCTAATTCAAGTAATTCAGATTTTCATCAACTTGGTACAAGAAGAAACCGATCCTGTGAAATCTTGTTTAAGTTACTTTCAATTTTCATTGGAAAGAAAAGAGTTGAAAGATTAAGAAGTAGTAGGAGGGGAAGTAGGAGTGGAGGTGGTAGTAGAAGTAGAAGAAAAGGTGAGATGGCAAAAGCTTGGAGTCAGTTTTGGAGTTTGGTTTGGATGATCGGATTGGTTTATGGATTGATTTGGTGTTGGTATTGGTGGTGAAAATCAAAAATATTGAAGAAGAAAAAAAGTCAAGTTTATAGGTTTCTTTTTGGTTTTGGTTTTGGTTTTGCATTTTTTTTCTTTGGTTGATTGGTTGATGAAGATGGACAAAGGTTTAAAAAGAATCTGGAACAAACGAATCTTGGAATTTTTGGAAAATTTTATATCTAAGAAGCATTTTTGATGATTATGTACTTATTTGGTTACGGTAAGGTATTGCTGAACTGATGATCATGGTGAAATTAAGGTGATGATAGTATGAGTCAATATCACAAAGAAGCAAGTATGTAGAAAGTAAGTAAGTTGCTTATGTTGTTGTCCAGAGACAAGTTTGAATGGTTATTTATTTTGCAACACACACAAAGCACCAGAACCACGCATACATGTACATAGAGATGAAGAAAGATGAGGGCACTATGAAAGACTTACCTATGAGTCAAAATCACCAAGAAGCAAGTAAGTAAGTTGCTTATGCAGTGATAAAGAGACAAGTTCAAATGATGAGGATGAAACTTGTCTGGACTCATATATAGACAGCTTTATATATGAAGAAGAATAGTAGTGGATTAGTCAAGGAATTTGATTCACAACATCCAAATGTATAAAGAAAGTACAAGAAAAGGAGAAGAAGGTAAGAGGGTCAAGCTTCTTCCCAATGAGTTTTTTTTTGATGATACTACCTGTGAAGGAATGCAGAACTTCCAAGAGGGAGTTTGGGCATTGCAAAATAGGGATAATATTATGGAACTTATATTCACCTCTTGAATGCGATTTTTAGAGTGTTATAAAACCATGTTCAGAGAGTCAGATATCTTGAAATCCATGGGTTTTCTTTGTGCTAATCTGTGTATATTTAGTGGGTTTACTATGTAGAACAATGTGAACAAGACACTGACTTCATTGCCATACTTCCAGCATCTCTCAAAATTTCATATCTTGGTACTTTCATGCAACAAAATAGGATTAATTTGAAAAACAAAGACAGACATTTGGTTCACTCGATAGGCTTCTCTTCTTGAGATCTATCATCTGATCCTCAGAGGAGAAGAATTGAGAATTATAGTTTGAAAACCAAGCTTGAGATCATACCACACTTGCTGTGTAGGGAAAACTTGACATTGTGATCAACAGTTCAAGAGCCTTTACACAGATCTGATCACTTTTACCTTTAAAAAATTCTTTTTTAGAGAGCTTGGTTGTGCTTGACAGATGAGGTTTGGATTCTGAACTGTTTTGTTCACTCAGGAAGGGGAAAAGGGTTATATTTAGAAGGAGACATATTCTCAAAGGTTTGTGTTCTCATCTTGAAAAACATGCAGTCTTTTTTTGTGTCAAGAAAAAATCAAATTCATTTTGAATTGATCATCATCTCTCTTGATAATTTCAAAAAACTCAACTTAAGATTAGGAATTTATTTGGTTTTCAAGAATTGGAAAAAAACAGAAAAGTTTTTCATGAGGTTAAAGGTTTTCATGTTTAATTTAGATTTCTCATATCTTTCACAATCAGTATATATAATAAAGAAGAAAGAAAAAAGGTTTGAAGGTATGATGTGAAAGAGATGAGGTTTGTCTTAATTCAAGTCAAGGTTTGAATAAGGAAATTATTGACCAAAATAGAATCCTATCACCAGTAAGAAAACAGGAAAGAGTATAAGTTTGAGAAGGCAAGAGTTTCAAGGTCTAGGGAAACGGTGAGATCCGAATCAACTGAATCTACTTACGATACGAAAGATATCCGGCAAGAAGAGCCAAGGGTAATAGGTAGCCCATTCCGCCTGATGATTCGTCTTGGTGAGTTTGACCCGTGACAGATTGAGCAGATTTCTTGGCAGTAGGAGGACCCTTGGTTGCATGCTAAAAGAAATGAATTTGAAAGTTTGATTAATACTCCTAATGCAAGTTGAGAATTGGATCGATTGAAAAAAAGGCTTACTTCTTTACAAGTTCCTACAAGATATTGATTCATTAAATTCCTGGCTTCTTCACTATGACCTACATCTTCAAAAGCTTCGGTTGCATCTTTTCCAGATTCACCTAATAAAACTTCATCACCACCTGGATGTTCATCTAAAAATTTTGAAATTGCATAAACTTTTCCATGAATGAGTAAATGTAAATTAGATGAACTTGATAGTGATGATAGTTCTTCGGCTGTGAAATCCTGAAAGATTATCAAAGATCAGTGTTTTTTGGTCTTCAATTCTGATCGATTGACCGTCAAAGGATACTACTTACTTTTAGTTCTTCTGTTTTTTTTTCTTCAGACATCTTGGAATGTTGAATTGAGGAATTGATGATGATGATGAAGCTACTCGATCATTCACTTCTCTTGATTTACACTCAAAACCAGTCAGAAAGTCAACTTAAGCTATACAGCTTACTTATTATGTACATATCCACGTAGCTATGTATTTAGGCCTCAAGTACGTCTCTTCGACTGGTTGGGGTTTATGTACTTTACAATCCAACTTAGTTGTCGTCCATTGCTTTGATCAACGCTTCGATGATGTACGTAATGGATAAAGAATTTGAAGCAGCTTGGCGCCCCGTTTCACCCCTGTGGCTCCTATAGATTGATAGATAATCACATTTACTTTCATACGGACGTAAACTGATGTTTAAAAGGTCTTACCAGTCGATCTATTTGTCGGCTTGGTGGGGCAATTTGCAGTAGTTTGCCAGATAGTTGATTGCAGAAGTGAAGATACAAAAGGATAACGTAGTCTGATTTAGACATTTGAATTCGATCGAGCCTTGGTTCAACAAATGATGAATATAAGTGAATATATCTCCTCAGCACCTCTGAGAATCTCTTATGATAATCGCCACAACTGTCAAAATTGCTCAACAAGCTTTGCTAACTTGACGTGAGTCCCTCAAACCGTGACGTTGGGTTGGTTGGGTTTGTGTTAAGCAAGCAAATTTTGCGCTTCTTTGGGTCCCAAGAAGCAATCATTATGTGTGATAAATGTTTCTTTGCGCATCAAAAACCCGGACTTGGATGTAGTCTCCACACCTACCTGCATAGCTGTTCAATTGAGGGAACATGATGTAGCCAAACTCTCCACAAGATTGGATATCAAAAGCCTGTTTGAACCTGAGCGATGTGAACTTTTGAGCGTAAAGGGGTGTCTATCCCCTAGCTCAGTCTTTACTTCTGCTCTTCTTAGAATCGCAACGAGGAGATGAGAAGATGGAAAACCCAAACTCAACGTTCGAAGCATTCATCGATCCATTTGTCAAGGTACATGACAACCCTTCCTTTTGGACCTGTGAGTGAGCGTGCAAACAGAGTTATGAATTTAAGAAAAAAATTGAAGCAAACGGGTGATGAAGCAAAACACTGACCATTCAAACATTGAACATTTGGTATCTCTTGATCTGGACCTTTGCAATCATGATCTTTTGAAGATCATAAAGCAAAGATATTTGATCAGTTTTTGAAATGTGGAGATTGGAGAAGACAAAGTTCCGATACATCAAATTGTGTGACGTACCATTACAGATCTGATAAGATAGGAAAGGTATCATTCAAACATCACACATTGTCGAAATATCGTGCATTAAACCAGAAAAGCAGACATCAGAAACCTAAGTCTTCAAACAACGATTCCAAGAAAGTGGAAAGGTGGATGGGTAAAGTGTCAAAGAAATCCGATGAAAGCTTACATCGGGCAATCGGATCCTCATCTTCTGTGTTCGATTTCCATTGTGAATCCAAAAATCAGTCCTCGAATACGCATTACACTTTGTACTACCAGAGGTATCTCTAGCATGAGGCCAATGATAAACACTCTTGGGATCCATAAAATCTTTACTTTTGTTCTTGGTCTCTGCTTCGACATGCACACGAGCGGTAGGAGAGACAAAGAATCGGAAATTACTCGCAGGCCCTGACATCTCACATCCTGCTTTTCTAGTCCATGTGATATTAGCGTGACCGGTGAAGAGACTGCTGTCTTTGGCGTCAGAATTCCCTTCATCTTTCCAACGCCAATACACATGTGCACTCTGAGGTGGATGTTCCTCTGCGAAGGTTAACTAAGGATATAACAAAGGGGCATCCCTCTGAATTAGTATTGTCAAAAAAATTCAGAAGAAATTTTATAATTCAAATTAAAAGCTGACCTACGCTTGGTAAAAAGATACAGAGACCCAGAACGAGAGTTGCGTGTAAGGAGAACATTGTATGAAAAAGATCTGAAATGTTTGGGTGTGTTGAATAGGCGTTTGAAAGGCAAGGAGAAATAAAGATATCGAAAAGAAGAAGAAAAAGGTAGTCTATGCACAAGTAGAAATTGACGAGATGGGATGTGGATGGGATGTGAAAATCAAAAGGTCAAGTTGACTTGATAACCTGCTTTTTTATTCATCGACTAGGTATACATGTAAGTGATTTATTCCTTTGAATCACTACCAAGATCCTGCGAACTCGTCAAAAATGAAACCTTCAACATACATATTCGGCGGCGATTGGTGACCCATCCCGAGGGGATCAACACTATTGCATCCGTCCCGCAGGCTAGGATACATCTTTGGCGCCATTCGATTCTTTCAACATTCATTAACAATAAGAGATGCAAAAGTGGATGCGTGTACAGAAGAAGATTCGACTCCTCATAGTTTGGGTTCAAATGAAAAAGTCAAGTGAGGGAGAAGGACCCTGGCACAGCCCCAGGTGAGTGGGTTTTCTAAAATCACCGATTTTAGCCTTTTTCATAGCGGAAAAACATTTTGAAAGACCTTTCAGGTCGATGGGCTTTGGTAGTGCTTGCTCAGCTCTGCTTGCGTGGGTCCTGAGAGAGTTGGGAGATAGCGTCAAGAGTCGAAACTCGTTAAAGCGAGGGAGCAGTGCAATTTCAAGAAATTTCAATTCCATATCTACAAATCTTTTCTGTCTTCTGATCATCCAGTAGCATCCAGTTTATCATAATAACTTAGCGGATCCCGAAACCCAAACGCTATCGCAACGCAACTGCCATTGACAGCGCAGCGGTCTCGGTATTGCTGTGAGGTCCCAAAAATCGAATATTTTGTGTGAGAAATGTTCAATCGCGCATGAACCCCTGGACGCGGATGTAGTCTGTACGCTATGTAGCTACCTGCATGCCTGTGCAATTCAGGGAGTGCTATGTAGGCAAAATCTTTACGAGATTGGATATCAAAAGCCTCTTTGAGCCTCAGTGATCAGACTTTTTGAGCGTAAAAGGGTAACGATACTCAAGCTCAGTCTTTACAAAGGATGTATAGATGCGCTACTTATTAGAGCTGCAAGGGAGTTTTCATCGATTTCGTAGTTGCTGATTCGTCCTCAAGTTGGAAAGGGGCCTTTCATTTTCTTATTTTTATAGATATCAAGGCGTGCTGCGATTGTCACCCCCTCTCCTCCATTTGCGTATCTCAAGTTCGTCCTTCAATTCATTACATCTTTCACAAGCACCAGATTTGCAGAAGATACCCAGTCTAATTCAATCACTTAACCAATGTCTTATAAAATGGAAAGCTTCACTCTCGACGATCAACTCATGGCAGGACAATGTGAGTGTCTTGATATCCTTTGTCTTTTACAAGGAAGTAGCATTCTGAAATCAATATTGCGGTCACAGTTGCAACAACTCACCGAAAGTCGGTTTCAGAAAGCAAGTTGCTCGAAGCACCCGAAACGCCCATGTTTAGAGTCGAATCATCCATCAATGTCAATTCGACTTTCACACCTCGGACTCCAACTAATAGACCCAATTCATATACTCTTGCTCAGCTTTTCACTCCTACTCAAAGACCAAAGAGCGAAAGAGAGTTATATGCGAACTTCTTTACTAGACTTGAATCTCATCAAGTTCAATTACTTCGAGACCGACGCAGATGGACATCTTTAACTCCTCAATCTCGTGTGTAGTAATGGATAGCGCGAATATGATGGTTAAATTTACTTTACTTTACTTTCATTTCATAACTTTTGGTTTAGTATGTTTCTTCGAGTCCCATGGGTTTTCGTATAGGGATTAACCCGGATTTGGTCTTTCTCTTTTGCCTGCGATGGCCTGGTATTTTCATACCATCTTTCAACTTCATATGATACCTAAGATACGGTCCAGTATATCATTATCTTATAGTTTTTGTAAAACTCCGTTCTCTTTTGAACTCACTTGTAGGCCTATCAGGTTGAACTTGTAGATATTTGTTTTCCCATCTGGATGGTATTCGATCTCCTGTACTTTTGTTATGCGAATTTTGTCAGTCCCTCGTTTTGTTTTTGGACGGTTCATTTTCAGAGGCTACAAAGGATTCACGGAGTAAAAGTGTCCTTAACGTGGAGTGGAATCCGTAGCTGATATATAAAAAATCGCTGGAATCTCTCACTTTTTATGGAAGGGATGCTCTGACAATTTTGGCTCGTAAATCCACATCGCACTTCACCTTGTGCTCCCTACTGAGCCCTATCATACCTCTTGCCTTCAATCGAGTTCGAAGAGTACAAAACCTCTTTAAAATTTTCTAGGGACTGATCGAGATGAAATACAACAAGTTTTTGTTGTAGGTTTAGAGGTCTTTGGAGTTGACCTTCATCTGGTAAGTTCGGATGGATGGGTTCATCTTGACAACTTCACAAATGTTATAGGCTGCCATAAACGGTGTCCTTGAACGGGAGCGTAAGCGTATCAGTCTTCACGGGAGACAATAGACGACCGAGAGACAAACAAGAGACTAAGTACCGAGTAGACACTGAGAGACACCACTACCCGCAGACACAAGCACCAAAAGAGCTTGTACAGACATGCATCTCAAGAATGTAAGCTGCATCCCAGGGATGCAAAGTCTGATAGCTACTATTTATGGATAATCAATGGAGGGGTTATGATAATGTTGAACTCTTTCTGCGAATTTACTGACATTTCATCCACCATAACAATGTGGAAATTATGACGAGATCATTTCATACTTTTGGTTTTTTAATCGATCGATCTATTCAAAAAACTAAAATCGGGTTTGAAATGATTGAAATACTCAAATCGAGTTCATTCTTTTATATTTCTTTTGAATCAAACGGTAATTTCCTTTTGACCTTTCATTCCGTTTGTTTTGCTCCAAACATGGCGATGGACCATTCATAAAACCTGACGAAATCTTCAAATTGAAGATTTCACCATATCGCTGGGATAGATTTCAAGCGGTTGGCGATGTTTTTGAAAAGCATGATAGCAAAAGACAGAATAAAACGGTAGTGACGAGCATGGATGGGAGTCGATTGCGAGTCAGACAAACGCAGGGGTACTGCTTCAGGCAGATTGATCAAGACACGCTGTACAGAAAGCTGTACAGCTGTTGTCTCCCGTTGTCTCCCGTGAAGACTGATAAGGCTACTCTCCGCAACGCAGCCACAGATACGGTACTGATGCCGTACCTGTGATACCGGTATCGTATCTTACAAAAAGATACGAAGTGATCACAGTACCGAGTACCGTAACTCAGTTCAGATACAGTACCTAGTACCGTAGCTGAGGCTTGGGCACGCCTTATGCCTTAAAGTGCAGTACCGTCGCTGTTTAGCAGTGTAGGTACGGTACTGTACCGGTACCTGGTTGCCAAACAGCGGTACGGTACGATGCCGTACCGGGCCAGGTACTACAAGGTACCGTCGCTAGTACCTAGTGAAAAAGCGCACAAAAAATGACAATTGAAAGAAAGAAACATTGGAGAACCAGAAAACGTGTATACAAGGCAGTAAGTAAAAGAAATATAGTTGAAACTTTATTAAAAGAAGGTAGTCGAAGTAGAGAAGAAAAGATTATTCAAAGAAAGTGAGAGAAATGAAAACCTTAAAACCAAGCAGACATGAAAAACAGTACAAAGGTGAAGTAAATAACTAAAGAAACTAAATATGTGTTCAACCACGTTGCTTACGAGCTTTCTGGTCATTGGCCGAACATCGAGTCATGGCGTCAGTGGCGAGTGCAAACTTGCCTTTCATCTGTACGCCTTCAACAGACCACATACGACCAGATACCAAGCGTTCGATTGGTCGTGGCAAGAGGGAACTGCGGTCAGCGGAGCAAACATCCGCTGCCGACGAGAACGTCCTCTCGACTGGGCATGATGTCCCACTTATTGCCAGATAATCGCGTGCCAGGCGGGAAAGAATGGGGTATTTCCCTTGGTTTACCTGTGTAAAAATTACCAAGTCAATATTGTGATGAAGATGTGAACAAGATAAGATCAGACTTACTTGCCACCAAGCCAAAGCCAGGTGAGGATTTTCCGCCACCTCGACCGAAGGCTCCTCAGCCATCTCCAAGTAAGATCGCAGTTCATTCGCCGTGTTACGACGATTGAGTTCTTTATGACGTCGAAACTCTTCATCTTCAGCTGCTAGAGTGTTGCCATGCCCTGTAGTTTCAGCTGTAAACGTAACATTCGCCACATCGGGGCCGCTGGACTCGATTTCACGTTTCTTATGTTCATATGCCGCTTCTATCAATAATTTTGCTGTTCTGGTCTCTGATGAGTCAGCCCCAAAAGCAAATTCGAAGTAGTCCATTCGCAGGCTCGGATGTACGATGGTGGCAAGGATGAGTGTGTTAGATGCAAGTGCTTCTTTGAGATACGCTTCAACACGCACCAGCAGGGCGTGGTACATGGGGAACAGTGGCTCGGCGCGTGATTTTGTCGCGTCAATCTTGGCTTGGATTTTCTTCTTGAGTTTGACATACTCGCGGATTACTAGACAGGCCGTGGGTCCATCCTGTTCGAAGAACTTGGTAAGCCTTTCAAAGTCCTAAATAAACGCGACGATGAATCAACAGAATCAAAGAGTCAAGTGGTGTCAACATTCAAGTGGAATAGAGGTTACTCACCTCAAGGATCTCCATGAGTTCGCGTACTTGTCGCCATTCGTCCGGCGTAATCATGACTTTATTAAATATACCTCTGGGACGGTGGACATCAGGCGGAAGAGGGGTTTCGCCTGGGCGCGCTTGGTTTGGATGACGTGGTGGTTCCATCTGATCCTCCTTGAGGATCTGGTCAATCACCTAAGGTCAAGATGGTAAGTATACAATAGAAAACACATAAGTTTAACAAAAAAAGTACCAACCTCACGTGCGTTGTACAGCCGCCTCCAACATTGTAACTTGATGTTCCACCGGATTCCATAACCGGGAATCGGACGTGGCAGCTTCTTTTTCGTCA